TGTAAGTCTAGACACTGTAATGAAGTGTAATCTTTGATGTTGTTCAATCTGATATAAGATCGAGTTTTTTGAAAAAGTTAATGCATTCATCAAACTAGTTCACGCTCACCTTGTTGCATAGAGGTTTAATTCTTCTGTCAACATTTTATAGACATGTATGTGATGATGCAGATTGTTCTGATATAGTAGTTTAGGCTGTTGACTGATTTCATAACTAACAACAGCCTGTCACAGGCGTTTTAGCGGATATTTTATGAGATGATTAAAGCCCACACTATGTTTTTAGTTGTATGTTGTAGTCCTGTCATTAAGACAAACAGTATCTTTTGAGTCATTCTTTGTAAGGCTTAGTAGGTTTACATGCATATCACTGTGAACACATATTGACCTTCACCTGCTGTGGTTCTGGTGTGCTCTGTGAGATCTTAAGTCGTAACCTCTGGCAGAGTGAATGCTTTTATATGAGGCTGTGAAAGTGTCACCTTGCTACAGGTGTGTTCTACAGGTGAGAGCTGTGCAAGACATTGGTCTGTTAAGTATGACCAGTGATGAGGAACTAGAAACAAGATGTTTACTGATCTTGAGGTGTTCAACACATGTATGAAGAAATCCTCCAAATGAAGTGACTACATTGGTCACCATTGTCACTCCGTTGTCAGGTGACCTGTCATTCACAGTACACCACTGAGCATGTTATCAGGAGCAGGGAGCAGTGTAATGCATACAATCCTGCAGACACAGATCAGGAGCTTCACTTATGTTGGAACACAACAAGAGTTTCCATTTCATTTACATTTACTCATGTGAGGTGGTGCACTGATTGGTCACTTTGGTATGACAGTTTTTAATAACATCCCTCAATTTGTGATGTGGCATCATTTAGAAATCTTGTACAGTGCATGCACGAAAGAGATTAGACAAGAAAATGTTTTTGAAGTCTCTCCGTACATGTATCAGCATCAGTTTCCAAATGTGTTCGAATTTGAACACTGGACTCCCAGAGGTCCTGTGTCTGTACTCCAACTGTTCAAATCTGTTGTTACGACATGAGAGGAACCTTCACAATATCAGGCAGGTGGCTTTAATGTTGTGGCCGATCGGTGTATAGACACAATCATCAGTCTTTTTAAATGAATTGTATTTTTATTCAGACATGCAGCACATTGACATCAACAAATGTCCAAATTCCACAGTGATGTTACATAGAAGCATCTATACAAATGTACATTTTGAGAAAAGTCAGCCAGTGTTCACTGCTTCAGTTCAGACTTTGTTCCTACAAAGCTTTGAGCTAACAGGCCTCTTGATCTCCACCTCAGCTGTCCTCAGACCACACTGTGTTGTCTCTTCCTGTCTCAGCAGTGACGTGTACTCTCTCTCTCCTCCACTGCCTCACTCTGACTCTCACTATCAGAGACTGTGGACACACACAAATGTCTTTATTCCTCCTCCTTCAACACAAATCACATTCTTCAGACAGTAAAGGACCTTCATTGCAATATGGCAGTCTTTTTGACAATCATAGTACTCACAACTCGCTCTGGGCAGCTGATTGAGGGCCTCTGTGATGTTTTCACTGGCCCAAGCAAATGTCCCTGTCATGATATGAAGCCACCTCCATTTTGCTGGTGTCAAACACGCCACAGTTTTAAGCCTGAATGACTACCGCCTACTTGCACTCACCCCCATCATAATGCTTTGCTACGAGAGGCTAGTCTTACCTCGCATGAAACCTATTTCCCCTTCAGTACAGCCACCGACAAAACAGAAACACAGATGATGTCATCTTCTCAAGGCTTCACTTGGCCGCCTCCCACCTGGACATCAACAGCTATGTCAGCATGCTGTTCATCAGCTTCAGCACAGTATTCGACAGCATCACTCGACCATACCATTGACAAGAACAGAGTAAAGAATGTTAAACTGACACATGAAGGTCAGTGTGTTGGTGAATATGTTTCCTGGCTAAAATAGCTTCAGATGCCTTTTTTAAAGTGGACATGAAGATATACAGGATGGTCTCATGTCTCCATAGAAATCTATTAGCTTCACAGTCATTACATGTAGTATACAGATATAAAGTCCTAGATTTGGACTCTTGAGTGTGGACACAATGCTGTTTTTGCAAGGGCATCAATGTTTGCTTTACCCTGTAGTCTAGTGGGTGGGAGGCAAAGCAACATGTCTTTTTATTTATTATATTTCTTAATTCACACCTGTAGCAAACAATTTCACTCACTTTACATCGTAATCTTCAGATTCGACTTAAGTGTACTGTTATGTTTTTTTCCAAAATGTGTTTACAGCTTTCAAGGCTCTCAGTGTTCTCAGTCAGTATTTACTGCTACCTTTCACGTTTTAATTTTAGACACCTTTGATCTGACAGACCTCGTGATCTTCACATTAGACCACACTGCGTTGTCTCTTCCTGTCTCACAGTTGACATGCACATCACTTACTCTTCTCACTGCTGCAGACCAATGTCTAACTCTGACTGGTCGAGACTCCGGTCAGTCATCAGTGATCTTACTGGCTCATCCCACATCAAACCCACAGAAAGAAACGTGGTACTTCAGAAAGAAACAAGAAGTACCACATTAACTTCCCAGCAGCACAAACACAAGAGACGGTTCGTATAACTAAATCTTCTGAGTCACTATGAGTCTTTCTATCTGCTGGTTGCGTGAACAGCATGAGTCGCCACTTTCTTACTGGTGCAGGCCTCCTGCTTCCTATTATTGGTGAATGCACACTCAGCGGTGCATCCATCAAGGCATCACAGTTTGATAACCAAGATGGAAATCGCACAGGTTTTGATATTTGATTTGTACTTTACAGTGACTTCTGTGCAAACGTGGTGTCCAGTAACATGGTTTGAAACATTACTTGAGGCCGACATAGTGTTTAAACGCACGTTTTGTTGAGCATTTCTGTCATTGCGGCAAGACAAGCAACTCACACACAAAAAAACAGAAAAAAAAAAAAACAACGTCCCGCCCCTTTACAAAGAAAGCGCCTCAACTGAAGCAGAGTTCACTGGCGAACATTGCTTTGCTCCAGTCAGACACCATGAAGCACTTGACCTTGATACCAGCTTTATTTCTCTGCAGCTTTGGTGAGTTTTGGCACTAAATTTCTCTCAACTGTATTTAGAACTTTGGTCACTGCAGCCCATGAGGACATAGACTTTTAAAAGTGTTTCAAAAGGAAGCCTTTACGCTCCTTTTGTTTGTGTGAGTGATATGAAACGGTATTGTTTAGTTGATGTCAAGGTTAGGTATACCTCCTTACTGAAACTCAGTCCTGGATCATCAGATAATGAGCTTTACTATAAAAACTGCTTCACTTCTCTGCAGCCTCAGCAAATACTGCTAATGGATTTCTAGCAAAAATGTATTCCATGTCAAACCTGTGGTTAATTTAAAAGACAGCAGCAAGCCTGAATTTAGTAGCTGCTAGAAACTGTTGAGCTGTGTTACCTCTTTTACCTTCACCAGCTCAGAATGTCTTTGCTGTTTGTTTCAGGCTGCCTCTCTCTGTCGGCTACTGAGTCTCAGACGGTGAAGGTCCAGCCTGGTGAAGACGTCACTCTGCTGTGCTCCAACTTTTCCAGTTCTCCTGGTCAGATAATCTGGTTTAGACTATTCAACGGAACCCATCCGCGCTGTATTTCCTCCATTTTCAGTTCTATTCAGCCCGCTTCACTCTGCAGTGGAGTGGAAAATGGCAAACTTGAACTGACATCCAACAGCTCGACTCTCTTTCTCAAAATCAAACATGTGGATTCATCTGACTCTGGGTTTTATTTTTGTGGATATACCATAAAAACACACCCAGTGATTGTCAGCTCAACATATGTACAGGTTCCAGGTAAGAAAGTGTGAATGTCATTTGGATGCTAGCAGAAAACAAAGACACAAGTACTTCTATTCAACAGATAGTAATGAAAAACTGTCAATATGATGTCGCACTAAAGAACTTTAACTGTATTATATCTATAGATGTAGTGGTAAAGCTGATAACAACATGGAAGTCAGCCTGAAGCATTGTTCCTGCCCCCTTTTAGGCGTCATTATGCACATAAATACTGGTCACTGATGGAGTGAGCTTATTTATCTGTTTATTAACAGTTAAGCTTGATTTAATTTCCTATTTTGATTTCAGCCACATATCTACTCTTGAAAGTTAAATAACAGGCTACCTTAATGATCTGTCCTGCAGAAGAATCTGACGGAACACCTCCTAGTAATCTGCTGAGTTTCATCCTGGCTGGTGTGACTGTTCTGCTTATTCTGGTCATCATTGGTCTGATTGTTCAAAACCGAAAACTTAAGACAGGTACTGAGCTTGTCCTAAAAAATGTGAAACTAGTCTACCAAGGACAATGATTAGTTAACTGACTGGTTGTTTTGTGTTATTTCTTTTACTCAGCTGATAAACAAGAACAGAATCCAGAGCAAAGTGAGGTGAATCCAACTTTAACATTTACTTGTATGTATGTATGTATGTCTATATATATACCAATCTGCAAACACCATAGCTTCAACTTGCCCGAGAGTCCTGACCCCTACCAAAAATTTTCACCAGCCGCCACTGCGTACACACATTCTAACATCTTGGAGGTATGCTTTCACCAGGTTTAATGAATGAACACTGTCCATATGGCAATGTTTGTATCGGTCTCAAAAACTTCGTATCAGGATATATCGTGACTGTAACTGTTCTTTTCACAGACTCTTGACCCTGATGACCTGGACTACACCACGGTTGCATTTCAACCAAATGTTAACAGAAGAGAGCCAGGGCCGGAGCCAGTGCCGGAGCCAGAGGTTATTTATTCTGCCACCAGATAGACTCAGGAGGAACTGACTCTGTATCATATGAATGCACTTTGAGGCTTGGCATGGCTGTTTGTTAGAAGAATACACACTGCTGCAGCATCGATACGTTTTTCCAATAAAGATCTGATGTTAACTGATTACTCAGCATTTCCTTTCTAATTGTCAAAATCTTTTTTTATCCAAACAAACATATGAGTAGTGTTTCATCGAGAAGGAGGCAGTAAGGACATTGTTGACTGTCCAGATTATCTTATAGTAAGAGTTAGGTAGTGAGAAGCGAGTGAGGTACACATTTTATTTATTGAAAGGAAGAGACACAAGTGAGGTGAAAAGCATGACACCTGTGGACACTTTTCAAGTAAAATAATCCAAAAGAACACAGGGGAAACAGGCTGACTTTCTACAGTAGCAAAAACAATATAAGTCCCCACGTATGTATAAAAGTTCATCGCATTAGTGCGGATACTGGATATAACTGAGATATAGTGTGCATGTGGTTGATGGTGTGGAAAATGTCTGGTGTGATCAAAAAGTTCTCAGACTGTTCCTATTGCAGTTGCATGGAGCATGTCATGGCAGCTAGCGTGTAACACATGCAAGCAGACGAGCACCTCAGGAGCATGCTTGTTGTTTCTTTAGACTTCACATGGGTGTTTGCTGGGAATTTGTTCCCTAGAGTTGGACTGTCAAGGCACAGTTCTACTGTAACGTCCTGAGGGAGAAGATTTTGTGCAAATGACCTAAACTCTGGCGTGATGGTGTATGAGTGCTCCAACTGCACTGTGCCACAAAGACATAATTGTCACTCTCCACCCATTGTGCTTGCAAGATTTAGGTCTGTGTGACCTCTTTCCGTACTCCAAAATGAAATGTTGGATGCCATTTAAAGTCGTCTGTTTTTCAAATGAACCTGAGATCCATCAAGAAAAACCACAAGAATACATTGTTCATTGTTTTAAAGTAGCGTGAAGGTGAATAAAAATGAATATTAGAGGGAGAGTAGTTCCATTCTTGTACTCACTGAGGCTGCAGATGCCCTAAAACTACTAACAAGGTCAAGTTAAACTCCATATGTACTACAGCTCTAAAAGTTCTTTAAAGAAGGACAGACTATATTAAAAATACAGGCCCAGAAGTAGATCTTGAATACATCTGTGATCATTGACACACAAGTTAGAGAATGTATGATTGTGAAAGTAAATTTAGTGTACCTCTGATTTCCAATGAACCTAACTGCATGAACATGAGGTACAGAACGAGCTATGGTACCAGCAATCAAACCGCAATGGCAGTCATCCTTAAGTGACGCCATGGTCAGTGTGCTACTTGTGTATAACAGATGGACACGTGGTCTGACATGAAAAGAAGCCGGTTTTGTTCGGAGCACATTCTTTGGTCAGATGTTCCTGGGGATCCACACCTCGGAGGACCTGTGCTGGGCCAAAAACACCTCTGGCCTGGTTAAGAAGGCTCACCAGCAACTCTACTTCCTGAGGACACTGAGGAGGAACCACCTGTCCACCGCAATGCTGGTGAACTTCTACTGCTGTGCGATAGAGAGCATCCTCACCAGCTGCATCACTGTCTGGTACAGGAACTGCCCTCTCACTAGGAACTGCCCTCTCACTAGGGCTCTGCAACAGGTGGTGATAACTGCCCAGTGCATCACAAGGACTCCACTCACAGCCAGTGAGGGCACCTTCAGGAAACGCTGCCTGCATTGAGCTCGCAGCATCCTCAAAGACTCCTCTCACCCCAACCATAGACTGTTCAACCTCCTGCCCTCCAGAAGGGGGTTCAGGAGCCTCCGGGCTAAGACCGGAACAGCTTGTATCTCAAAGCTGTCACCTTATTGAACTCTGCCTGCCGTTAACCCCCGTCCCTCACCCTCCTTCACACTCCTCTCCCCTCCTCATCAACCAAAGCAATACCCAGTATCTGCATTAATTATACATTGCACTGTAATTACTGTGTACTGTCACAGATTATGCACTGGTCTTGTTAATATCCACTTCACTGTTGTATTGTCAGTTTTAATGTCCATTGCACATATCCATTTGTAAATATACACCATGCCATATATTCATGTACATAAATAGGTAAATATATATATATATTTTAACCTGCATTTTATACTCTGCACTTTTGCACTTCTGGTTAGATGCTAACTGCGTTTTGTTGCCTTGTACTTTTACATGTGTAATGACAATTAAATTGAATCTAGTCTAATCTCTAAATAAAGGCCTTCAAGTTGAAACAAATGCAGCTTTACTGAGTACATACCAGCTGAGTGGGATGTGGGAGCCCCTGCTGTTGTTTTACTGATGTCTTGAAGATGTACGGCCAAGTTTGGTTTATCTTCGGAACTTTGCGGTATGAATTTGTGATGCAGAGAGCTGAAGGCCAGGCTTCCTCTGGTTGACACCTCACCAATGAAACAAACATCTCACACTGTGCTGATTGTTATCACACAGGGCAGGTAGGACTCAAACTTCTACACAAATGTGGAGGTTTGTATTTTTCCTGCTACAGAGGAAAGGCAGCCAATGTCCACTGCTTCCTTTTGAATTCTGTTACTGTAAAGATTTGGGTTTACAGGCCACATGATTTTTTTTTAAATCTCACTTCACACTCTGTGCTGTTGCTTCCTGTCAAAAATGTGATGTGCACCTCATTTGTGCCTCACTATCACACTTCTGTTTAAAGAAATAGGCTGTGACAGAGAAAAAGAAAGTGCTTAGTGTTATAGATAAAAAAAAACAAAAAACAAACAGTTCACGATGAATTAGCATTGCATCTTTATTGGAAAATTTTCAGCAACAGATGTTCCTCTCACAAACAGTCATGCCAAGCCTCAATGTATATTCACATCATACAGCACCGGTTCAAGTTGTTCTGCCTGAGTCTATCTCGTGGCAGCATATATAACATTTGTCTCCTGCTCTCTTCTTCTAACTTTTGGTCGAAATGTCACTGTAGCGTAATTCTGGTCATCCGAGCCGAGATTCTGTGAGAAGAACATGTACAGTCACAATAAGTCCTGATAGATACGTTTTTGACTTTTACCGATATTGAAATTTGGCCAGTGTTCATTTTTAACATTAAAAGCTGCTTTTTGACAAATTTAATAAGTAAAACATTTTCCAGAAGTAGTTATATGTCATTTCTGTACAGCCATTTCTTTTTAAGTCCAACACACACACACACACGCACACAATAGAAGTATATACTTAATGAATCTGTATCAAACAATACACAGAAGTATACTTTAAAGTTGGATTCACCTCACTTTGCGCTGGATTCGGTTTGTCTTTATTAGCTAAGTGACAGAAATAAGACAAAACAAATGATTAGTTGACTGACTGTCATCTTTGTTAAATTAATTTTTTATTTTTTTAAAATAATTATTGACACAAGGAGCAGCGAAAAACAGATAAAAGTTAGACAGTGTAGTTCTTAAAAAGCACCTGAATGAAGTTTTCTGTTTTGAACAATCAGACCAACGATGACCAGAAAAAGGAGAACAGTGAAACCAGCCAGGATAAAACACATCAGCTTTGCTACGCCGTCGGAGTTTTCTGTAAGAAAGACCTTCAAGGTAAAATCTATTTTTGAGAATTCAAATGTGGCTAAATTTAAAGTGGAAGAAAGTCAAAGTGGCTCTTTTATATTCAAATGGTTCATCTCTACAGTGAAGGGAATCTTTAAGAAAGTCTTACGTTCGGTGTCACAATGAGGTTCGTCGCCGCCTTTAAAAGAAATAATTAGTACAATTACTAACAATAAGTTTGTATTACATTACATTGTAGTCACAACAGCCACTTTGTTGCATACAGGAAGAAAGTTATCATATTGTCTTTGCAGTGTAAGTAGAAAAATAGCCAAACAATAGGAACAAAAAGAAAGTAAAGACTTACCTGCAACTTTTAAATGTGTCACACTGAAAAGTAGGCGCGGACTTTCATAAAATCCACAGAAATACTGTCCAGAATCTGATGAATCCACTTGTTTGATTTTGAGAGAGATAGTAGAGATGTTTGAGCTCATTTCAAATTTTCCACCTTTGAATCCATCATAATATGTAGGCTTGCCGCTAGATCTGATCATGACGGAGATGCAATCGACCGTGGCTCTGTTGTCCAGTCGGAACCAGAATGTTACACACTCAGACTTGGAAATATTGGAGCACCGCAGCGTGACGTCTTCGCCAGGCTTGACCTCCTTGGTCTGAGACTCAGAACCTAAGACAGAGATCCAGCCTGAAACAAACAGCAGGGACAGCAGTAGAGTTACTTGCTTTACAGTAACATTAATACAGTTAAAACAAAGTTAGGAGTAAAGGTGAGTACTTACAGAGGCTGCAGAGGCTTACAGCTGCTATGAAGGTGAAGTTCATCGTTGGGTGCATGACTGACGCTCTGCACTGTACGTGAATGATGTGGGACCCAGGAAGGGGCTTCTAAATACAAAGAGGTGGGGTTTTGTGTCGCTTAACCTTCAGTCGAAGAGAGTTAGTTTTGGTGCTACAAACCTGCTCTCAGACAGTGTTGTTGCATAGTATTGCGTAATGTTCAAAGCAGAATGTATACGATGTGATGAACAGAGACGCATTAAATACCAAAATTCAACTTCATCTTCATTTCCAAAATAATTAGAGAGCAATGGTGGCATTTCAAAGTCAACGCTTCAGAACAATAGTCCATAAACCAATGGATGACGTCATATACAGTCTGTGTGCAACTTACACATCAAATAGAGGTAAATAAAAATGAAACAGAAAGACAAACGGATTCCTTTCATGTGTTTTGTACCTGAACTGCAGTCTTCCTGCTCTATGCTATTGAAGGTTACAGATGTCATGACCTTTGGTTTCGCCATTTATTTCCCGATTTTTATTTTGGAATCCCTTTTCCTCATATGTCGCTTGTGTTTTTACTTCCTCCCTTTGTCTTTTTTTTCCTCCTCTTTTCATTGCTTCCATTAATTTCATCTGTGTCGTACGTCTCCTTGATTAGTTTTCTGTGTCTATGTATTCCCATGTCTGTCCTTGTGATTTGTCAGTTTATCTACCTCACGTCCACCTACCTCATTCTCCTCGTCTGCTTCTGGTTTTACCATTTAGTTTTTTGTACTGGGTTTGCTTACCTCCTGTTTACTTTCCTCATGTTTGCTTCTCCCCTGATATATATTTTTTTAAATCCTGGTTTTGAGTTTTTGTACCCTTTTGACAACATAAGTAATTTGTGTTCTGTGGCACCTGCTGTTGCTCATTGAGACCAGTGGCATTCCAGGATTTCAGCTAACAAAGTCGCTCGGCTCAGTGATGGAGACTGCCTTGAGGAGAAGGCTCACTTTCGCAACCAGTAGGCCTCAAATGACGAGCACACAGAAAAGGCTGGTAAAGAGGTTGACAGGACCAGTAAAAATCTAGTAGGAACAGGGTTCTTTGTGCACAGCAAAGCAAGATGTTGGTGAAACTGGGGATTCTCAGCTCATGGGCAGCAAATTTTCAAAACATCAGTATGGCCTGGCTAAATTTAGAGCCGTTAATTGCGCAAATGTTTTTCAACTAATGTGTTGTCAGTAGCTAAAGGAAGCTGGGCCGATGAGAACTTTTTTTTTTTTTTTTGATGCTCCATTGCCCACTAATGTAGCCATTGTGACCAAGCGTCTATTTTTGGATGGCGACTGTGACAGACTTAAGTTAGCATTAAGGCGGCTCCTTTTCTGTTACACCTACTGAGGCTACGCTGTTCACCAGCTGTGCTTTCTCAGATGAAGACTGGGCTAGTGTTGAGTCAGTGAAGCTGCAAAGGCTAAACGTTGCTGGGTAAGCTTTTCAATTAAAGTGTGTTTTGAGCCAAGCCCTCCAATGTAGGTGTAGATACTTGGGCATGATGGAGGGTCGACTTTGACCCAATGGGCCTCTGGAGTTTGTTGGACCTGTTGGAATGGTTTTTTCGTGAATGCTGCTCTGCATAAATGTGTTTAGATGCTGATATCGGGAATGTGGTGAGCTGAATGTTCTTTTGTGGATGATGTCTACACTATTACAGTGGTTGTGAGTGGGAATAGGGCTGCAACTACTTATGTTGATTATGTTGTCAATTAAGCAATTAACGAGATGTTTGGTTGAGAAGAAATTGTTTCCCACAGCCCAAGATGACCTTTTTTAATGTCTCGTTTTGTCTACAACCAAAGATATTCAG